CGGAACATTTCGGGACACAGGAATATCTGGGGAATTTGACACTAAGATATATTAAGGCCTTATTGATTCTAGCAGTCTGTTAACACTGAAGTCTAATCTAACGTATCCTATCCTATCGTAGCCTAATCTAACGTAGCCTATCCTATCGTAGCCTAATCTAACGTAGCCTATCCTATCGTAGCCTAATCTAACGTAGCCTATCCTATCGTAGCCTAATCTAACGTAGCCTATCCTATCATAGCCTAATCTAACGTTCCCCATTCTATCGTAGCCTATCCTATCATATCCTAATCTTAACCAGTTCACGATGGCAATATTATATAAAGTTATTGTTTTCATGTATTTTAATAAACGTGTAATGTGTTTTCTTTCGAAAAGTAATTTATGGAAAGGAAAATACTAAAATAACAGTGGTTAATATTAATAATACAAAATATTACCATATAACTATCATAGCAAAAGTGTTTGGTAAGAGGATATGGTTATGGAATGTGCCGTGTAATATTTCTTAATTTTGGTAATCTTAATTAATGCTAATTTTATAGAATTATTTTCCCGTTAATTTATGGATGATCTGAGATAGACAATTAGGTAAAGGCAGAGCAAGAGCTTTTATTATAAACTTTTGAGTTAAATATATTTTAATGTATTTAATAAATTTAGTACTTTTGGTAGGAACATAAAACGCAAAACTCGGAGTAGAAAAAGAATTAGAGACGTAGCCACCTCTTCCCCCCCCAAAAAAAATCTTCCTGCCTACACACACACAGGAGTTACACACACACAGTTACGAGGAAAGGCTGCGGGAAATGCACCTTACGACACTGGAAGACAGAAGAGTAAGGGGAGACATGATTACAACCTACAAAATCCTCAGAGGAATCGACCGGGTAAACAAGGATGAACTATTCAACACTGGTGGGACGCGAACAAGGGGACACAGGTGGAAACTGAGTACCCACATGAGCCACAGAGACGTTAGAAGGAACTTTTTCAGTGTCAGAGTAGTTAACGGATGGAATGCATTAGGCAGTGATGTGGTGGAGGCTGACTCCATACACAGCTTTAAATGTAGATATGATAGAGCCCAGTAGGCTCAGGAATCTGTACACCAGTTGATTGACAGTTGAGAGGCGGGACCAAAGAGCCAAAGCTCAACCCCCGCAAGCACAAATAGGTGAGTACACATGTATATACATGTGAATGTAAAGAATCATTCAGAACTTTGTATACCACATATGTCAGGCCAATCCTGGAGTATGCAGCCCCAGCATGGAGTCCATATCTAGTCAAGGATAAGACTAAACTGGAAAAGGTTCAAAGGTTTGCCACCAGACTAGTACCCGAGCTGAGAGGTATGAGCTACGAGGAGAGACTACGGGAATTAAACCTCACTTCGCTGGAAGACAGAAGAGTTAGGGGGGGACATGATCACCACATTCAAAATTCTGAAGGGAATTGATAGGGTAGATAAAGACAGGCTATTTAACACAAGGGGCACACGCACTAGGGGACACAGGTGGAAACTGAGTGCCCAAATGAGCCACAGAGATATTAGAAAGAACTTTTTTAGTGTCAGAGTGGTTGACAAATGGAATGCATTGGGAAGTGATGTGGTGGAGGCTGACTCCATACACAGTTTCAAGTGTAGATATGATAGAGCCCAATAGGCTCAGGAATCTGTACACCAGTTGATTGACGGTTGAGAGGCGGGACCAAACAGCCAGAGCTCAACCCCCGCAAGCACAACTAGGTGAATACACACACACACACACACACACACACACACACACACACACCCACCCACCCACCGACAACCACATCGTAAGTGACAAAGGTACTGGAGCGAGTAACAATTATCACCTGACCATGAGAAGAAACCACAGGACATCCGCCACAGATGTCATCAAGTGTTCAGGACTTACGAGACTTTTATTCCCCCTCACAGGCTTAAATCCGCAGCCTCACTGATGCCATTCACACCTCGGTCAATTTACGCTCCTCCCACTCCACACCCAATACCCCCGAAGCATCGGCAGGTTACGTAGACCAGGCGCCAGATTCACGAAAGCACTTACGTAAACACTTACGAACCTGTACATCTTTTCTCAATCTTTGGCGGCTTTGTTTACAATTATTAAACAGTTAATGAGCTCCGAAGCACCAGGAGGCTGTTTATAACAATAACAACAGTTGAATGGGAAGTTTTCATGCTTGTAAACTGTTTAATAAATGTAACCAAAGCCGTCAAAGATTGAGGAAAGATGTACACGTTCGTAAGTGCTTGCGTAAGTGCTTTCGTGAATCTGGCCCCTGGTTACCAAGACTATTGGGACTAAATTATAGGCTTAAGACCTGTGTAGGATAGTTTGCCTGCTGGGGAACCTAATCATGTGGGGCCAAGTAGGGGTTAAACGTCGCCTGCTGACACGACAGGCAAGAGTCTAGATAAAATATTGGTCGAATCACTCTAGGAACGTCTGGAAACTTTGTTGCAAAGTTTACCTGAAAGTGTGCAGGGAAATACAACAAGACTTGTAAACTTAATAACAAGTATACATACCGCGAGGTATATTCTGCTCTGTATGTATACAATGAGAGATTACTTCAGGACCAGGGTATTCTCGCTGGTTGGTCTGCAAGAAATTGTGGTGGTTTTAATAACCCTCCAGATGTTGATGGGCCTTAAACCAAATCAACATGTCAAAATTATACGGTACAGTGCATAGGATCATGCAGGAAAGGTAAAGATGAGTGGGCTGCATATTCCTGGATTATGAGAGACTACCACAATCCCCGGCAAGTGGCTAATATATCGACTGAAAATTTAACTGAGTTAAGAGATTACCCAAGGAACAGAAAGTACAAGTACAAGTGTACTTGTGTAGTAGTGTGTAGTACGAGTGGGAATGAATGCCAGTATTTTGATAAGCATCTAGAGGAGACCTATATGGGTCAGTCCTGTGGATCAATTCTGTTCCTGATATTCACAAGTTTAACCACTTTATTGAAGCAGACGTATTCACTTAGTTGTGCTTGCGGGGGCTGAGCTCTGCTCTTTCGGTCCGCCTCTCAACTGTCAATGAACTGTTACTAACTACTACTAACTAATTTATTATTATTTTTCATACACACGCACACACACAGGAAGCAGCCCTACCAGCTGTCTTACTCCCAGGTACCTATTTACTGCTACGTAACAGGGGCATCAGGGTGAAAGAAACTCTGCCCATTTTTGTTTCCGCCGGCGCCGTGAATCGAACCCCGGACCACAGGACTACGCATCCAGCATGCTGTCCACTCAGTCACCAGGGCCTGGGTGTTGGCAGATGTTAAGGGTAGAACATGCCTTCAAGATGCCACAAGACTTTAACTAGCTACAAGAGTGGTGAAATCAGTGAGTAATAAATCTCAAATCCAGCAAATGGAAAGCCTGACATATTGGAATAGGTAAGTATGGCCAGTAATGACTGACCAGGGGAAGAAAGAGCACTCTGAGGCATATATATATATATATATATATATATATATATATATATATATATATATATATATATATATATATATATATATATATATATATATATATATATGTCGTACCTAGTAGCCAGAACGCACTTCTCAGCCTACTATGCAAGGCCCGATTAGCCTAATAAGCCAAGTTTTACTGAATTAATATATTTTTTCTAATTTTTTTCTTATGAAATGATAAAGCCACCCATTTCATTATGTATGAGGTCAATTTTTTTTATTGGAGTTAAAATTAACGTAGATATATGTCCGAACCTAACCAACCCAACCTAACCTAACCTATCTTTATAGGTTAGGTTAGGTTAGGTAGCTGAAAAAGTTAGGTTAGGTTAGGTAGGTTAGGTTGTCGAAAAACAATTAATTCATGAAAACTTGGCTTATTAGGCAAATCGGGCCTTGCATAGTAGGCTGAGAAGTGAGTTCTGGCTACTAGGTACGACATATATATATATATATATATATATATATATATATATATATATATATATATATATATATATATATATATATATATATATATATATATATTTATTATATATATATATATATATATATATATATATATATATATATATTAGTATATTTTGGTAGCAGTCTTTCTTTTAAAAATACTTTGTTGAAAACGACAGAAAGTTTTAGATTTATGATTCTAGCACGAATCTTCTCGATATTCGTCAAGTTTTTCTTCACTGAAGCAAGAAGATTAAAAATTAACTCTCCAAAGTTCATTTTCACTTATTATTTGGATCTGACGCCTAGTAATGCGTTTTGTAAGATATCACCTCACATTCTCAAAGACAAATTCTTCTGATAATTGATAAAGATTAAGCCACCCAAGAGGCGGCACGGGCATGAATAGCCCGTAAAAATTCTTCTGTGTAGCTCCTGATTATAATCTATTGTGGTGAGGTGATTGGTGACATGGATGAATGACATGCATGGAGTATTAAATGAATGGGGTATTTACTTGTGTAAAAGAGGAAATGTTTATGTTTATCTCTCAGAATGTTTGGTAATATGTTTATTGTTTGTGATGTGTGTCTATGTATGTATTAACACGATGTACTGAACGGGGTGAGAATAGTTTGAGCTACCTCATCCCTTTGTGTGTATTTTACCTCAATAAACTTGTTTCAATTTCAATTTCAAATGGGGTATTGATACCCCATTTATTTCATACTCAAGGTATGTCATCCTACAAAACGCATCACTAGGCGTCAGACTCAAATAATAAGTAAAAATGAACTTTGGAGAGTTAATATTTAATCTTCCTGCTTCAGTGAAGAAAAACATAAGAAATATTCGAGAAGATTCGTGCTAGTTTCATAAATATATATAAATATATATGTTGTAGATATAGTAGAGGAAAGATAGGTTGGTTAGAAAGGCGGGGTCCAAGAGCTAATAGCTAGATTCTGCAAACATAAATAGTAAATCCACACACTGTCCTCCCACAGGAAGTTATAACCATGGCTCTACAGTCACCAACAATATTGGTGACATTTGGCGCCTGGCCAAATGTCACCAACAATGTTGGCGCCTGGCCAAATGTCACCAACAATGGTGGCGCCTGGCCAAATGTCACCAACAATGGTGGCGCCTGGCCAAATGTCACCAACAATGGTGGCGCCTGGCCAAATGTCACCAACAATGGTGGCGCCTGGCCAAATGTCACCAACAATGGTGGCGCCTGGCCAAATGTCACCAACAATGGTGGCGCCTGGCCAAATGTCACCAACAATGGTGGCGCCTGGCCAAATGTCACCAACAATGGTGGCGCCTGGCCAAATGTCACCAACAATGGTGGCGCCTGGCCAAATGTCACCAACAATGTTGGCGCCTGGCCAAATGTCACCAACAATGGTGGCGCCTGGCCAAATGTCACCAACAATGGTGGCGCCTGGCCAAATGTCACCAACAATGTTGGCGCCTGGCCAAATGATATATTACTTAGTAAAGACAAAAAAAAGTTATAATACTGACAATTGCAAATTAGAATTTTTGTTTCATACTTTCTATTAATGCAATTAATAAATTGTAAATTTTTATTGCTCTTCCATTAAAATAAAATAATTCTTTTCACTGGTTTTACGACTATCTAAAAATTAATTATATCCCGAAAAAAATATAGTAGAAACAATAGCTTGGATATGATGTATAAGCACAACACACATTTATATTTGTACAATTGCGATTCAAGTATATAACTTCAATACTATTTGGCTGAAATGTATATTTTTTCAGGATTTAATAAGGTAGGTTGGCCTCGATTTATTAGTTAGGTGCGTGGTTGCGTTTGTAATACCATTTTGCTTTTGATAAACATAACATATTACTATATTAATATATACATATATATAGGCCGAGATATTACTGAAAATCTATATATAGTAAAAATACGAAAATCGTTAGTTGTTGCTGGGCTGAAAGCCTATCATCCACGGGTTATCTTGAGTTGATTTCGGGGCTTTAGTGTCCCCGCGGCCCGGTCCTCGACCAGGCCTCCACCCCCAAGGAAGCAGCCCGTGACAGCTGACTAATTCCCAGGTACCTATTTACTGCTAGGTAACAGGGGCATAGGGTGAAAGAAACTCTGCCCAACGTTTCTCGCCGGCGCCCGGAATTGAACCTGGGACCACAGGATCACGTGTCCAGCGTGCTGTCCGCTCGGCCGGCCGGTCCCTACAGATCTAAACTATCACTCCCCACAAATTCTTTCTGGCCAATCATAAAGTACATTTTAAAGTACATAATAAAGTCTAGAGTTAAAGTAACCTCATAAAGCTTCTACACACCAGGTAGGTACACATATGTTGACCAGACCACACACACTAGAAAATGAAGGGACGACCACGTTTCGGTCCGTCCTGGACCATTCTCGACCATTCTCAACTTGAGAATGGTCCAGGACGGACCGAAACGTCGTCGTCCTTTTATTTTCTAGTGTGTGGTCTGGTCAACATATTTCAGCCACGTTATTGTGACTCACCATCTGCAGGTACACATAAAATGTATGTATCGCTGAAAGGTCGGGGTGTATGATCCCTGATATCCTCGAGCAAGAGGTGTATCTCGTTTCTCACTGTATACTCACTGTGTTTACACAGGCTTTACATTATGACCAGATCCCAAGTATACTCGCTGCTTGGTCAGTAAGCACTTGTGGTGGCCTCAATAACTCTTTTAAAGAGGTTTCACAGCCATTAATCCCAACACTTGTACCTACCCGAAACATCAATACTAGTGATTAAATATACTGAACACTTGAGAGTTCGTGTTACCAGTCCACACTAACATTATATCATATTATTGCATTGCGCACATTAGAAAGCGACCTTACAATTCGTGAGCGTAACTGCCAGGAGCCGAGCCGGTCGGCCGAGCGGACAGCACACTGGGCTTGTGATCCTGTGGTCCTGGGTTCGATCCCAGGCGCCGGCGAGAAACAATGGGCAGAGTTTCTTTCACCCTATGCCCATGTTACCTAGCAGTAAAATAGGTACCTGGGTGTTAGTCAGCTGTCACGGGCTGCTTCCTGGGGGTGGAGGCCTGGTCGAGGACCGGGCCGCGGGGACACTAAAGCCCCGAAATCATCTCAAGATAACCTCAAGAAGATAGCCATTGCAGGCTGTTAAGCTTCATCACATAAACACATTTCCATTACGCAACTAAAGATGACAACCCTGAAACAGAAGCGGAACGAGTCCTTAGAAGAAGAAAAACCTTTCAACATACGGAAAAAATACCATGAACACAATATAGCCTCATAACACCAAGATATATTACTAACCATATTCACAATACCATCATTAGACAACCTCCCATCCCCATCTCAACGTGCTTTGCCTAGTCCAAGAAAACATTTATACTTAGATGATTGATAAAGATTAAGCCACCCAAAAGGTGGCACGGGCATGAATAGCCAGTAAAACAGAGAGGGAGCGCAAGCGTTACCGCCCTGGGGCAGAAGAGACGTGTCTCACGTACAGAGTAATGGACTCCTTCACGGCCCAACGTGTTCAATAATGCCATCAATCACACACGTCGCTACAATTGCAGTTACTGTCGGTAATGATCACTGGAGTGCAACGTTGAAAATATTAATACTACCGAAGTCACCTTAACTCCTGAGGACTGGCGCACCTATTATTCTATTCGATATACTCCAACGTGGGAATGGAATACAATCTCTCTCACATATATATATATTATATATTATATATTATGCGAACAAGCCTGAATGGTCCCCAGGACTATATGCAACTGAAAACTCACACCCCAGAATTATATATTATATATATATAACTTTTTATTACTTTTTTTAAATCTAAAAGGGGTAACACCTCTGGTGCAAGTGTAGGAACCCATAGCCTCGGAGAAGAAAATAAAGAGTACTCAGAGAAGACCTTGTGCATTATTTTAATATTTCATATATATATATATATATATATATATATATATATATACTCATATATATATATATATATAGTCGAGGCTATATATATATATATATATATATATATATATATATATATATATATATATATATATATATATATATATATATAACTGAAAACTCACACCCCAGAAGTGACTCGAACCCATACTCCCAGAAGCAACGCAACTGGTATGTACAAGACGCCTTAATCCACTTGACCATCACGACCGGACAAAATGAGGTGATAGTCGAGGCTATTTGAACCACCCCACCGCCGGCACTCGGATAGTAATCTTGGGCATAGCATTTTACCAAATCACCTCATTCTTTGGGGCACACGTGAGGAACACAAATGCGAACAAGCCTGAATGGTCCCCAGGACAATATTGTCCCCCAGGACAATTATTGTCCTGGGGACCATTCAGGCTTGTTCGCATATATATATATATATATATATATATATATATATATATATATATATATATATATATATATATATATATATATCGTACCTAGTAGTACTCAACCTCAGTATTCTTGGTGGTTGGTCAGTAAGCACATGCTGGCCTTAATGGCACTCCGGAGCTTAATAGGCATTGAATAAAATACCAAAAATAAAATCCCGAATTTAGGTCTAAGTTATACTTGCTGTTTGGGCAATAAGCAAGTGTGGGCTCATAATTACACTTGAGAGGTTGATTGGGTTTAGTGTTGGAGTAGCCTATCAACACGACGGTTTCTAACTACCATAAAAAGTTACTGGCAATCCCAGAGGTATAATTTAGTTCTGAACATTATACAGGACTAAAGTATACTCTCACTATACATACATATACAAGAGGGGAACACCTCGGTGTACTTATCCCTCTTACGGCTGTAATAAAACAAAGTATATTATAAATTGATTTAGATTAAATATTGATATATTTATAAATTGATGTTAGAACTTAAAGTATTTGGAGATGCAGGCGATGAGTCACAATAACGTGGCTAAAGTATGTTGACCAGACCACACACTAGAAGGTGAAGGAACGACGACGTTTCGGTCCGTCCTGGACCATTCTCAAGTCGATTGTGTCAGATTCACAATCACAGACCATTCACAATCGACTTGAGAATGGTCCAGGACGGACCGAAACGTCGTCGTCCCTTCACCTTCTAGTGTGGTCTGGTCATCATATTTGGAGATAAAAATTGCAGGAACACAATGATTTAATTTGATTTTTAATTACATATATATTAATGCAGCCCAGCCTCCTGCTCTGAGAGTACTTACAGGAAGGATGAGGACCATAGCACATAGACCAACGTACAACGCAATTAGCAAATATTTTTTTGAGATTTTTTTTTTTTTGAGATATATACAAGAGTTGTTACATTCTTGTACAGCCACTAGTACGCGTAGCGTTTCGGGCAAGTCCTTAATCCTATGGTCCCTGGAATACGATCCCCTGCCGCGAAGAATCGTTTTTTCATCCAAGTACACATTTTACTGTTGCGTTAAACAGAGGCTACAGTTAAGGAATTGCGCCCAGTAAATCCTCCCCGGCCAGGATACGAACCCATGACATAGCGCTCGCGGAACGCCAGGCGAGTGTCTTACCACTACACCACGGAGACTGCACCACGGAGATATAAATCGGTACTATTGAATTTGGACACACCAGAAAACTATTTTCTACTTATGTTCCAAAGCCCACCTTAACTAACCTCACCTAACCTTCTTAGGTCTAATACACGCTATCTGAGGCCTAATATAGTACATGTGTGTGCTATACTAGGCTCAAGAATATTTAAGTTTGTTTTTTAACTTAAATTGTTTCAGACTATAAGGTGAATAGTACAAAATTCTACTATCTAAATGCTTAGTACGTCAATGGTAGTACTATGGTGCTCATAGTTACAAAAAGTGTTATCTAAACAGGATGGGTTGGTTAATGACACTATATCTTGAGGTTATCTTGAGATGATTTCGGAGCTTAGTTTTCCTGCGGCCCGGTCCTCGACCAGGCCTCCACCCCCAGGAAGCAGCCCGTGACAGCTGACTTACTCACAGGTACCTATTTACTGCTAGGTAACAAGGGCATCAGGTGAAAAGAAACTCTGCCCATTGTTTCTCGCTGGCGCCCGGGATCGAACCCGGGACCACAGGATCACGCGTCCAGTGTTCTGTCCGCTCAGCCACCGGCTCCCCATCCAGTACTAATATAAATGTATATATGGATTGGGGGGGGGGGTTGAGATAGAAGACGTTTACTTTAAGGTTTCGTAACTAAGCCGTTTGTGCATTTAAGTTTGGTTAAAACATGTCGAATTTTCTATATTTATATTTAAACTCAAGTACATCTACGATTTATAAATCACTATTAATAATTAAAATGTTTTTACATACACACTCTTCATCCAATATCATGAACTCAGGCAAACCTTAATTATTTGCTCTTGCGAGATTTGCCTTTCTTTTACTCTGCTTAAAAAATAATTAACAGAAATTGAACATCTTTGATAATATTGCTTTAATATATAAAAGTATTATTG